TTTATTTCCGACCCGGGCAATTTTAGGGGTCTACAGTGACAAATGCCTTGAGTAGGATGACCTTTCATCTATCGTTTCGTTGATTTAAAGGTTAAATTTGATTGAAGAGTTTAGAGATTTAAGCTTGATTTGTGAGCTTACCCTTAGAAGCATTAAATTGAGTATTTCGAAGGTGACTAGTGAATTAATGGATGAGATTAGAGGAGCCTAAGAGTTAGATCCTTTCTTAGTGAACCAAGTGGAGAGGATTGGTAAGGGTATAGATAGCCCTTTTCGAGTGGAAGTTGATGGTGTTTCGTGGTTTCAGGATAGAATCTATGTGCCTAACAATCCCGAATTAAGGAAGATGATCTTGGAAGAAGGCAATAAGAGTAGTCTTAGTATTCACTTAGGAGCTATTAAGATGGATTAGGACCTTAGGAGGATGTATGAGAGTGGCATAGCGGAAGCGTGGTGGTCTAAGGTGAAGATAGGAGTAGGGGAAGTTGTGGACTCGTGTGTAGTATTCTAAAAGTCTAAGGTGAAACATTAGAAAGTCAAATGTAGGAGGCATATCCATTTTTATTTGCTTCAGGTAATTTCGGGGACGAAATTTTTTAAAAGGAGGGGAGAATGGTAACAACCCAAATTTTTCTACTAATACTACGAATAATTATTATTTATTTTTGTATTTATGAAGATTATTTCCTTATAATTATTTTGATTAATTAAATGGGTTTGATTGAATTTTTAAAAGTTTCTAATTACAATCATTTATGAAAATTACTTTGTATAATATTATTAATTATGATATTTTGTTATAATTATTATTCGAAGAAAATCATGTTTTAAATTGTATTGATATTTTATTTTAATTTGATATATATATATATATATATGTTATTTATTTATTTATTAATTAGTAATTCTGGATTTTCATAGCCCCGGAACGGGCCGTTCCACTTTGGGAATGGGCCGTTCCAAATCAAGCATGCGTGGGTAAAATTTTAACCCAGAACGGG